AGGATTTGGGTCAAAACTGGGGAGAAGGCGGTTTGGTTTTCTTCCTCCTTGCTGTACAGATCTTCCCTAATCCCCTTTCCTGCCGTCACTTTGTCTCCTGCCTGCTTCCAGGGCATCCCTCCTGCCTGCAGTTCACCCCGGTGATGATGGCGGCCGTCAAGACGTATCGCTGGCAGTGCATCGAGTGCAAGTGCTGCAACATCTGCGGCACCTCCGAGAATGACGTGAGGAAAATTTGGGGGGGGGCTTTAATAGTCCGTAGGACATGGGAGAGGCTTTTTTGGGGGAAATTATCGAGGTTTTAGTGGTCCGTAGGACAGAGCATAGTCATTTGGGGGGAAAATCTGTGATTTTGTAGTCTGTAGGACATGGGAGAGGCTTTTTGGGGGGAAATAACTGGGTTTTTAAAAGTCTGTAGAACAGGGCAGAGTCTTTTTGGGGGGAAATTATTGGGCTTTAATAGTCCGTAGGACACGGGAGAGTCTTTTTAGGGAGAAATCTTCGGGTTTTTAATGGTCTGTAGGATAGAATGGAGTCTTTTTTGGGGGAAATCTTTCTGCTTTAATAGTCCGTAGGACACAAGAAAGTCTTTTTGGGGGGGGGAAATCTTTGTGATTTAAAGGTTTGTAGCACCGGAGAGTCTTTTGGGGGGAAATCATTGTGCTTTTAAAGATTTGTAGCACAGAGCAACCTTTTTGGGGGTGAAATCTTTGGGCTTTAATAGTCTATAAGACACGGCAAAATCTTTTTTTGGGGGAAAAGATTTTGATAGTCCGGAGGACATAGCGATGTCTTTCTTTTTGCTCTGGTCCCCTTCGCATGGTCCTGAAGCCAAATTTGGGTTGAATCATCCGAATTTTCCCCCCTTCTTTCCCCCCCCCCCTCGGCTTAGGACCAGCTTCTCTTCTGCGACGACTGCGACCGCGGTTACCACATGTACTGTCTCACCCCCCCCATGTCGGAGCCACCTGAAGGTGAGTTGTCGCTCCCTCTCCACTTCAGAAATGGGTCAAAACAAGTAGAATTCAGCCCAGAATATTTCTCAACCGCTTCTGCTCATGTTTTTTGGGGCAATCGTGGATCTCTCGTGTCACAATGGAATATATTGGGTCTGTTGTTCCAGCTGTTCCCCTATTTATTCCTCCTCTGCTCCGCTGGAGTAGCGGAAAAGCCTTTTATCACCCCAAACCAACATCCCTTGCGCCCCAAAATTATCTCCATATTGGTCGATAAAGCCGAGAGGAATCGCTCTTCTTCCTTCTCTTCCTCCCACCTTCTACTCATGGCGCTGAAGGAAAAAAAACCCAACTCCAAAATCTCAATGACACCTCAGAGCTGGTTAATTATCCCAGTGATTAATTATCAACCCCTCTCCTGGCCGCCTTCACTTGAAGGTTAACGAGGAGGAAGAGGGTTTGCGGGGTCACAAACCCACAAACAGCCCTGTAAACCACCCCCTTCCCTTATTCTCTATTTGTAATTAGGAAGCTGTGACCCTTAACGAAGCCCTAACGAGCCACCTACTTGTCCCTCTCTCTGCAGGGAGCTGGAGCTGCCACTTGTGTCTGGATCTGGCCCTGCCACTTGTGTCTGGATCTGCTGAAGGAAAAAGCCTCCATCTACCAGAACCAGAACAACTCCTGATCCCGCTCCGCCGACGGAACGAGCTCCCCGGTGCCCTCGTTCCACGCGTTTTCCCTTTTTTTTTTTTTTGGAGGGGGGTCTTTTTTCTTTTCTTCTTTTTTTAACTTTCCCCATGGTTTTTTTGGTTGATTTGGGGTTTGTTTTTTTTATTAATCGCTTGGGGAGGGGATTGTCGGGGTTTATTTTACTCATTTTCGCCACGCGAGGGTTTTGTTTCTCACCTCCCCCTGCGAGAACAGGGTGACGCTGCCGTGTCCCCACCCCGTGAAGTGGCTTTTGGGGGTGTCACCAAAAGGGGAACACGTCTGGGACAGGGCTGCCCTTCCCATCGCCGTTTCCTGGCTTTTCCACCGAAAAATGAGGCGCCCAAATCCACTCAGCATGCCAAAAAACTCGCTTTTCCCCCTCCTTTTCTTGGGAAAATTCAGACCCCTGCACTAGCTGGGGTTGTGTTTCTGGGGCTTTTTGTTAATTTTTTTATTTTTGGGGGGTGAGATGATTATTTTTTTCTTGGTTTTATTTTTATTTCCTTTTTCCCCTCCCTGTTTTTACCATTTATTTTCTTCCCACCATCTCTCCTGCCTCAGAGGATGCTCCCCGCCACCCCGCCGATCCCCCCCTCCTTCCCCGACGAGGCCTTACACGATCCCCCCCTCCTTCCCAGACGAGGCCTTACACCTCGACATCCTCCTCCAGCTGGCACGAAACGGGGCAAAATCCCTCCATTTTGGGATTTTTCCCTTGCTCCCACATGGCGCAGAGGGAGAAATACTTTGCCCCGTCCTCGACATCCTCCTCCAGCTGGCACGAAACGGGGCAAAATCCCTCCATTTTGGGATTTTTCCCTTGCTCCCACATGGCGCAGAGGGAGAAATACTTTGCCCCGTCGTCGTCGTCACCCCCCCCCCAAAGCCCGTCACGGTCGCACAGGGTTTATTTTGGGGTTTCGGGGGGGATTTCTTATTTTTTTTGGAGGGGGGGAAAGCTGCTTTCACCCCCAAAACACCACTGACGGGGAGAGGCAGGAGACGCCGCTGGTTTTGGGGCTCTCTGGGGATGCCCCAATATCCCCGTCCGCTCCCCCCCAAGGGTCCCGTTGACTGAATGTGCCTGTTTTTTCTAAAAATCAACTTAAAAATAAAACCTACCTCCGAACCCCCCCTCCCTGCCGCCGCATCCTAAATTTCACCTCCCAGAACCCTCCCCCTGTCAAAAGAGAGGAGCCAACCGGGACGGTGGCAGAGCAGCCCCGAAACCGGCCCCATGAGCAGAAAAATGCCGAAAAATGACTAAAAAAAAACCCATAAAAAACAACCACAACAGCCTAAAATTAACCAAAACCACTCAAAATTGACCAAAATCCCTAAAAAACCCCAAACACCGCCACACCAGGAAAAAAACCAAACAATCCCGGATCTGAGTGATGAAGCGGCTCCAGCCTGGTGGTTTCTCTCCTCCCCCTCCTTGAGCGTGATTCGGGTGGAAATGATAGCGTTTGCGTTAAAAATGGGTGGGTTTCGCCCATTTTAGCGCCCTGATGGGGGGGCGGGACAATGAAATGTCCCTAAATGGGTGGGTTTTACCCCAATTTCCCCTCAGCAAAGCTTCACGGTTGTGTCTTATCCGGATTAAAAAAAAAAAAAAAAAAAGTGACACCAAAACGGCTTGTTTTCATAATAAAAATGGATAAAAAAAATGCAGTGGTGTGGAAATGAGGGCGTTTTGGGGAAAAAATGGAGGGATTGGGGGGTTTGGGGCACTGGTACGTTGGGGTACCTGGGTTTGGGGTAAAAAACCAGATATTTAGGGCTTGGATGTGGCTTCTCTGAGGGCTGATAGTGGGGTTGTGCTGCTTTGTTCTTTGGGGTAAATCAACCCAATTTAGGTACTTGGATGTGGCTTCCCTGAGGGCTGCTATTGAGGTTGTGCTACCCCGGGGGGTTATTTTGGGGTAAAATCCTCCCCATTAGGGGGGTTTTGCCACCCACCGGCCCCGACTTGACGTGAGAATTAATCCCTTTGCAGATTTACTTTGCAGCTAAATCACCCGAATTGGGGCAAAGGCCGGAACTCGAGAGCCAGGACCCGGGCGTCTGGGTAACGTATAGGGGACGTTAATCCTCGTTAGTCTCGTTTAGGGGGGGATGGGGGTCCCCAAATGCCTGGGTTCCCTGGGGGGTGGTCACGGGGACCCCCGGATGCCCAGTTCCCTGGTCAGGCAGCGGTTGATATCGAACACCCGACGTTGCGATAAGGTTTTATTGGGGTTAAATAAATAGCACCCAGGTGGGGGGTATCGACCGTGGGGTGGGGACACCTGTCACCCTGTCCCCTGGCCCAGCAGGACCCAGGTGTCTCCGATGGCCGTCCTCTTCCCCCCTTCAGACACCGTCCTTGGTCTTGGTGGTACTCAGGGGGACAGTGACCTCCTCGTCCTTGAGGTGACCTGCTCTGTGGCCATGCCCGGGGAAGAGAAACCCCCAAACCTTCATTTCTCCCCCAAAACCTTCGTCCCTTCCTGTCGTGGTTTAGCCACTGAAACCAGGACACTTCCCAACCCGAAAACTTTCAGGGTTTCTCCCCAAAACGTTCGTCCCTTCCCACCCCCGAAACCTTCAATGTTTCTCCCCCAAAACCTTCAACCTTTTTCCCCCAAAACCTTCGTTCCTTCCCAAACCCCAAACCTTCAACCTTTCTCCCCAAAACTTTCATCCCTTCTCACCCCAAAACCTTCTGGGTTCCTCCCAAGAAATTCTGCCCTAATACAGGGATTTCCCCCTCCTTGTGCCCACCATGAGAGCATCATGGAGAAAAAGGGGATCTGGTGGGGCCGGGGTCCCTCGGTGTGGCCAAGGCCACCTCACTGGGGTGCCCCTCACCGTCTCTCAACGTCCTTGACGGTCTCGGGCAGGGGCACGTTGCGAGTCTCGGGCAGGAAGCAGGTGGCGATGGCTGAGATGATGGGGGCAGCCCCGTAGATGATGAGGGGCAGCACTGGGGTCACGTCAGCTGCCATGTGCACCAGCGGGGCCACCATGCTCCCAACGCGGGCCATGGTGCCCCCCAGGCCCATCCCCGTCTGCCTGTGCCAGGGAAGGAGGGTGGGTGGATGGATAGAGGAGTTGGTGGACAGGAGGGGTTGGTGGTGGTTGGATGGATGGAGTGGTTAAGGGATGGATGGAGAGCTGGTTGGATGGAGAGCTTGAGCAATGGATGAAGAGGTGGATGGAGGGGTTGGGTTGATGGATGGAAGAGTTGATAGTGGTTGGATGGAGGGGTTGATGGATGGATGGAGAGGTTGAGGGATGGACGGATGGATGGGTTGGTTGGTTGGTGCATGGAATGATGTTTACGGGGATGGATGAGTGTTTGGGTGGATGGGTGGGCTGGTTGATGGATGGGCCAATGGGTGGGTGGGTTTGATGGATGGACTCGATGAGTGGATGGATGGAGGGAGGGGGCCAGCAACCTCTGTGGGTGACAACCACCCACCTGATGACGGTGGGGAAGAGCTCTCCGGAGAAGATGTAGGCACAGTTGAAGGAGGCGGCCAATGAACCCTTCCCAATCACTGCGAAGGCCATGCGCAGCATCTGCAGTTCTGGGGACAGCAAGGGGAGGTCTCGTGCCTTCAACCCCCAACACTCCTCAATGTCACACCAATGGTCCTTCCCTCCAACCTCTTCCTCCACCCCCAAATGACCCTTCATCCCTCCATCCTTCAACCTTCATTGCTGCCCCCCCAACATCCCGCACCTCTCCCATCTCTGTTCCACCTCCTTCCCTCAATCCCTCCAACTTCCACCCATCCTTCCACCCTCTGTCCCTCCATGCCATCATCCTCTAACCTCCATCCCTCCATCTTTCCACCCTCTGTCCTTCCAACTTCTCACTCTACCCCTCTACCTCTTCTTCCACCCCACTGTCCTCCATCTCTCCATCTCTCCATCCCATTGTCCTCCATCCCATTGCCCTCCATCTCTCCATCCCGTTGTCCTCCATCCATCCCGACGCCCACCCATTGGCACAATGATGTTAGCGAGGATGCAGATGCCAGCGAGTGCCAAGGAGCCACCCTGGGCCACCCGCCGTCCCACGCAGCTGATGGCCAGCACCGAGGCCAGCTTGGCCGGGATGTCCACAGCCCCAAAAACCAGCTGGCTCAGGTAGATGTCCACTCCGAAGCCCTGCAGATCCATGGCCAACCCATAGTAGGCGAAGCTGGTGGAGAACCTGCCCCCAAAGCCCAACGTTTCAACACAAAACCCACCAGACATGACCAAGCAGGGACCAAAAAAAGTGAATTTTGGCCCTCAAAAGGTGGGGGTTGCCCAGAAAAGTGGGGGTTTGACCCCAAACCAGCCCCACTTGCCAGACGAAGGCGACTCCACAGGAGACTGTCCTCATACCGGGGGTGCGGACCAGGGCGGCCAAGGCCCCTCCTGGCAGCGGCGGCTCTTGGCGCATCAACGTCCGCAGCGCCTGCGAGAAGGGGGATCTGGGGAAATCTCGGAGGGATCTCGGAAGGATCCAGGGGATGGGAAGGATCTTGGAGGGACAACAGGGACCTGGGTGGAGCTAAGGGAGTTGGCCGTGTCTAGAAGAGGTAGTGGGGTATCTCGGGAGGGATCCAGGTGGGATCGGAGGGATTTTTGGAGGGATATGAAGGGTCTGGGGGGAGAATCCACGTGATTTGGAGGGATCCGGGGGGATCTAGGTGGGATTGGAGGGGTCTCGGGCAAGAGGGATCCAAGTGATCTGAAGGGATTGGGATGGGGGAGAGATCTAGGAGGGACACTGAAGGTCTGGAGTGGACATCCAGGTGATCAGGAGGATCTAGAGGAGGTCAGAAGTATCCAGGAGGGATCAAGGGGAAACGGGGGGATCTAAGGGAGAATGAGGGGGTTCTGGAAGGATTTTGAGGGATCTAGTGAGATCTGGGGAAATTGGGATGATTGAGGGGGAGTCTAGGGTGTAGATCAAGGGGATTGGGGGGGGATCTGGAGGAGCCCCATCACCTCTTCGCTGAGCTTGTCCCCTTCGTCCTTCCTCCTGTTGATACGGGCGACTTTGCGGAGCCCCTTGATGGCCAGGTCGGGTCTCCCCGAAATCACCTGCCACCGGGCTGACTCCACAAACAGCCTGGTTGGGGGACAACAAAGAGGAGTTATAGGGGACCCAGGTGTCTGGAGGGGGGGTCCCTGTTCCCACCCTGCACCTCCCACCACCCGTGGAGGACCCTAGGGACCCCCAAAACCCCAACCACCACCTCCTTTTGCCCCCCTAATCCAGGAGGATGTGGGTGGGCGGCCCCCACCCCTTCCCCCGGGTGCCTCGATTCCTCGTACCAGGAGTAAAGGAAGAAGAGGAAGAAGGGGAGGGAGACGACGAGCTGGAGCCAGCGCCAGTGAGGGAGGCCGAAGGCCACGGCTGCCAGCACGAACTGCCCCAAGGTGTAGCAGTAGCCATTGATGGTGCCCACCACGGCGCGCGCTTCCGTCGGGATCCACTCCATGCCTGCAGGCAACCATCAGCGCACAGATGGGGGGGTCTATCCTATGGGGTAGGACCAAACTGGGATATTTGGGTCCCTCCCAAGGGTCAACGGTGGTAGGGTTGGTGCCTGGGTCCCTCCCATGGGTCAACGGCGGTAGGGTTGGTGCCCGGGTCCCTCACGCGGGGCAACGGTGGGAC